ATGAACCTGAAATTGTGGACTTGGACGTGGGTGGCATCTCGAGGGATGAGTCTCCTCCAGACAGGACTTGCCATTAACTTGGATCAAGAACCAGGCTATGATACCATGAGAAATATGTGAAAGCGATAAAGAAAAAACGAGATGGCGATTTACGTGGTTTCCCCAAATATCAAGATTAGTCCACGGGAAAGCTTTGCTCTCCGACTGATTTCTTATTACTTCACTTGGTTTCGGCTGAATCCTATACAAATCTCTTTATACCCTTTGAATCGTCCAACTAGGTTTTGATTACAAGGACAATCAAAGAGAACACACACATTAGACACTACAGGCTTGTAACTCGGCTCGACAATGGGCCCTTGTTGTCACGTGTATTGAGCTTGATGGGTCAGATCCATTACGTCCAGGACACTAAAGATCACGTCTATGATATAACGATGGAGGCCACGGTCTTGGAACTAGAAGATGAAGTCAAAATGCAAAGTTTCGGGCAATTCATCACCATTTTCTGGCTGGTCACAGCATGGTCACGCCATCGGGTCATGCCTTCGAGGTTGTGATAAGTTTCTGGACACTATATATACCCCCTTTTATGCACCTGCAAAGGAGAGCCGACTTGAAGGGGAAATTTAGGATTTATGGGTGGTTCTTTTAACTGAAAGAGAGACAAAAATGATTTAGAGAGAGGAACCTAGGGTTCCCCTCGAAGAAGGAAGAGAATAAGAAGAAGATGGATGATGTGTGTTTTGAATATGAATGTATGAATTATCTCAAACTATTTATGGTCAATTGATATTGAATGATGCCATTGTTTTGCTTTACTAGAAGTGGGTAGTGATAGTTCTTGTCCTAGGTTGAGGTGACCATCCCCTTAGGTCAAGCCAAGAACACATATCAATTGAGACATGATTTGAATTGCACGACCATTGAGTTGAGCTTGTGTTTGTCCTTGGTTTTACCCTCATATGAATCCAATCTTACTGCCCTAGCGATTTGTGGTTGGATGACCATTTAGCGGAGAAGCATACTTGGAGTGCTCTAGGTGAAATGACCATTGCCCAAGTAGCGATATAAAAGGATGTGGTATCACTAAGAAAGATAACATCATATACGTACACAAGCCCGAGTCTATCTAGGGTTAGGGGAAAGCTACCAAGTTCCTCTCCTATACTCAAACCCAAATACCTGGAAGTTAGTCCATTAGTTTAGAACTCCCCCAATCGTCATTAGGCTAAATAGTAAATTAGTTTTGAAGTAGCAGTAGATCCATGACCCCATGGAATACGAACTCGTGAGTAAATGTTTTAGTACATAGCTAATCTAGGGTATACTTGACCTATGTTGGAGTATACTTGACCTATGTTGGAGTAGCATAAGCTGATATCAAATTTTAACTTGGTGGATCACACATCAACCATGTAGTTGTTATTTATGGCCATAGCTCTCTTAACTGAAGCCCATGGCTCTTCTTGTGAGGCATTAGGGCCTTCTAGCTTGAGACATGACATGGACTTCTCATTCATTTTCGTGGCCCCTCTCGTAAGACGACCATGGACCTCGAGACGGCAATGGCCCTCCCAGATTTTGAGTTATGCTTGTTGCATAGCCTCTTCATTCGTAGCCATGTACTTCCCTTGGAGAAATCCACCATGTGACTCAAGGTCTTGACTTCTTACTCGCGTCCATGGACATATAGAAGGCCCATGGTATATTATTCTTGCGACATGTCAAAGCCTCTTACGAGAGGGTCATTGTTGCTCATTGGAACATGTCCATGCTCACAGGACTTAGTGGCTTGGACTTAAAAGTCAAGATTCATGGCATCTAGTTTAAATAACATTAATTGTTATAATTGATCTAGCCTCATAAGAGCATCATATACCGTATAACTCACTAAGAAATCTAGCTTCTTAAGTCCCAAAAGGAGATTTCCTCCACCTAAGTCAATTTGACCTAACTTTGAGATATGAAAGAACAATACTCAAGAATTCTGAAAATTACCTCAAACATTGTATTAAACACAAACCCACACACATAACATTCAATCCATACAACCTATCATATTTCTAGGCTAGGGTTCACAACAGCCAAGTGAATTGAAGAACTACTCCATGACTAAGAAGAGGACTACAACTAAGAAGTAACAGGGCCTAAGTTGCTTGGATTGCCTCCTTGGTGGAGAAATCTCCACTCTTCTAGTCTTGGGTAGGTAAAGAACTCCTTCTTCCTCCTTTGGTTCATGACTTTCTCTCTCTAGCTCAAGAAGAAGAAGGCAATACCACTCTAGAAGTCCTCTCCTCTCGAGGGCTTGCCCGTGATATTGAGAAAAACGCGTTGTTTCATTTATAATCTTCACGGTCGGGGCAAAAATGTTACACTCTCCCGCATGTGAACTTCTATTTGCTCGCGAGGCATGAAAAAGCTCATAGATCATGTCAATCTTCACGGTTTGGGCCCAAATGTCACGGTCTCCTGCCCGTGACTTCTGCCTTGTCATCCATTTCGCTCCTTTTTCGCCTTCTTTCGTTTAGCTTTCGGTCCCGAGGTCAATTCCACCTGCTAAGACCTGAAACATGCTAAAAATATCACAACCTAGCGTAAAATTGAACCTCGGGCGATGTAAATGTCTCAAACATCACAACAATATGGGGTGAAAAGCAAGTGTAATTAAACCCGAATCACCCGCTTTCAAATATCCATACCTATACTCGCCCCATACCTATGCGGGGGAAGGTTTTGCAAACCTTCCCACACCATGAGTTTCGGTTACGCGTGGGTAATGTCCATCCCGTACATCCAACATATAATACTTAAGATTTTACATGTAACTTTTTAATTATAACATTAAACGCACCAACTATATCATGAAGTCGACAAAGAGACAATCATTCTCAATACAATTCAAAGTATTTTATCCTCAAATATCTATTAATCCACAAGATAGAGTGCAATGTAATTCAAATCAATATTCTCTAACTTTGATACTTCTAATAAGTAATAACTAACCAAATAACTAATATAATCTTGTTAACACGAGGGAAAAAGTGAGAGTGAAGAAGAGAGAGTTGAGGAAAAGGAATTATGTTTTGATTTGGGTGGTCATTCAATTGCATTTCTACTATTAATTTTCTTGAGTTACCCTCGCTATTATTGATAAGTTACATTTGATCAATGTATTTTTTTATAATTGAAGAAACGTTCTTGATGGGTAGGTATCGATATGGGGCAGAAAGGATAAAACTATACCCGCCCCATACCCATCAAACGTCTTACGAATTTTACCTATACCTGCCCCATACCCAGTTAATTCGGAGATTCCCCGCATTCACTAGGTCGGAGTTAATTGGATACCCAGAGTCATGTGGTTCAAACCGAAAATACAGTTCAGCTAGAATTTGACGAGACTACCAAAACACCCACACCCATCGAACACATTATTTGTCCCATTTCCCCTCTATACCTCTCTCTCTTTCTCTCAAAGTTGTTTTTTTTTTTTGGCAGAAAAAAAACTAACAGCCATGAGATACAAAAAAGACATAAACTAAGGGAAACAAGGATGTGTGCCGGTCAACTTTCATTGTTAATGATTTTTTTTTTTTTTTCATTAGGAGACACATTCGTTTTAATGTTTTATGCAAATAGAAACCCTGTGCTAGCTAATATAGCACCACCCCACGTCGGTCTCTTTCCCATATCTTTGTCATTAAAATAATTCACCTAACTCATTCCAAAAACATGAAATCTACCACCACAATCACAATTTATCATTATATTACCTCATATCTACTTTATATTTCCAAAATCTATTACCTCATATCTACCTTATATTTATCAAAATCTATCCTTAGATTTTCTAACCCAACAACTCGAATTACGAGGACAAATTAATTCTTGATTGTGCTCGGAAATCGTGCTTAAGTTTTAAATTCATCGATTCTTGAGATGCTTAACTATCTTGGCACGGAATATCATTAATATGATTTTCTATACACATTTGAAATGTTTAAATTTATGCTTAAAAATGTTATTAGTGCACATTTTCTGGACTTAGTAATATTAGAAAAGATTCCACAAGTAAGATCTAATTTAAATTAATTATTAATGATACGGATCAAAATTGATTGATTGGTAAATGAATTGGATCTAAAACCGTACAGTATTTATCGGTTGTACATGAGTCATTTTTCTTCACTTTCGTTTTTTGGTCTTAATACATGATATATCCATTCCACATTGCACATTTTTTTCCTTATGCACACCTAAATTACGAAATGAGATAATAAGAGGTTATAATACCGCTTGAAAACGAGAGCTCACACAAACTACTCATGCATACACAAGCAGATAAATGTTGGTGATTTATATGAATAATGGGAGATCTAGATATTTCCCCATTTCATCAAATTCAAGCTTTTGAGAAATATAATGCATATAGCAACAGAATAGAGAAGAGAGAGAGAGAGAGAGAATCTTGGCGTATCTCATTCTCAATTCACTCAACATTCTTTCCATCTTCCAAAGTTGTATAAGCCAAAGCCAGCCAGCCAGCCCTGAAGAACAACAACCCCCTCCATCTCCAAGTAGTTACAAACATTTTATGGGACTTCCTCTAATCCATAATTAAGGGAAAACATTTTCATTTGTTATTATATTTTGCAGCGCAACCATGTGGCCAAATATTCTAAGAGCGTTCCATCCAACAAAAAAAGAAGCTTAGAAAATGAGTTGTACATGGCCCCATTAGTTTCATTTGTCTGTATGCACCTTAATTATTGTTTCGATCAAAAGAATTTTTTTCTTGTGGATGTGAATAAGTGTTTGATTAATGAAAGAGATATTGTGAGACAACTTGATAGTCAACTGGAATATTTTGCATATCTCCTTTGAGTTGAGCCTTGAAGACATTCGTTTGATTTCTTTCCTGGGTTGGTTAGCTGGTAGCTTTTTGCCATGCAACCTCAATGACAGACATGTATATATAAATAGGCCTATTTTGCTTCATCTTTCTTTCAATGCTGTGAGAAAGCGAGATAGAGACCAAAGCTCATCCATACATAACATATAGAGCCTCCTTTTGATCAGCATAATAATCATATTCTCCTCCTTCCATTCCCCCAAACAAAAGCTAGCTAGCTAGCATGGAGCATATTGAATCGTTAGCTGATATGGATTGGAGCTCCCTAATGAGTGGAATGATGTACACAAATGAGCAGGCCGAAGCTGAATTCATGGCTCAATTGCTTTCCAACTTCCCTGTCTCTGCTCACCAGGAAACCAGCAATTACCATAACCTCGAATCGTACACCAGTCTGGATGCTGACTTCTTCTCAACGTCATCAGCGCTATTCAACATGTCAGCAGCTGACAGTTGTTGTAGTCAGCATCTTTCATCATCAACATCACAAGGGAGTAGCAGCAGTACCAGTCATCATCATCCTCAGGACACATCCATGGATCTCCATTCTTATTCTCTGCCGCCTCTTGTGAGCAAAGAAGAAGGCCCCATTTCAACAGGCTTCTGTGCTGGAAAAGACACCTTGCTGGTGAAAAAGAAATCTGAACAACACAAGCATCAGCACATAACAGCTGCAGGGGACAATGAAGGGAAACCTAGCAAGGGGCCAAAAAAGAGATCAAGGGTCACAGGAGGAGAAGTAAGTTGTTTCACTTTTGCACAATTCAGATTAGGATCGATGTTGCTGGCACTCACTTTCTGACCAAACCAACTTGCAGGCCACAAAAGCCAAGAAGAATGTGATGCCAAAGAAAGGGGGGAAGAAGCAGAAAGGTGCCAAGATGGAGGAAGAGAGCAATGTTGTGAAGAGTGATGCAGGTGCGGCCATCAATGGCTGTTCTGAGGATGAATCCAATGTTAATGGATCAGCAGCAGATGAGATGATGCCTCTGGCTCTGGCTCAAGGAAGAGAAGCTATACCAACAACAACAACAACTAGTACTAGTTCCACGACTGTGAGCTTGAAAGGGGATCCAGCTCTTAACTTGAATGGCAAGACCAGAGCCAGCAGGGGTGCAGCCACTGATCCACAGAGCCTCTATGCCAGGGTAAGTAGGGGAATCTACCAACTTCTTTTCTTGCTCACTGCCTGCAGGCTTGAATCTAACATGATTTTCTTTTTCATTTGTGGGTATCACACAGAAAAGAAGAGAGAGAATCAATGAGAGGCTTAAGGTTCTGCAGACCCTTGTCCCCAATGGTACCAAGGTCGATATCAGCACCATGCTTGAAGAAGCTGTCCAGTATGTCAAGTTCTTGCAGCTCCAAATCAAGGTAACAAGCCGAGCGGAGTTGGCAAATGCCTACATAATCCTCCTGTGTTTCCATTTCAGTCGGGGGTTTTAATTAATTGTCTTCCTGTTATTGCAGTTGTTGAGCTCTGATGATCACTGGATGTATTCGCCGATTGCTTACAATGGGATGAACATTGGACTCGATCTCAAGATTCCACAACACATAGATCTCATTAGTTTAGACAGTTCCATATTGTGAAATTCTTATTGCGGACGAGAGTGGAAGTTCCAACCCAATCGGCTCTGATTCATTCATTCATTAGTTTAATTTTAATTTTATTTATGTCGTTTGACTCACACGAAACTGCACCACAAATTAATCCCGACTAGAGCTCAAGTTTTTAAACTCAAGCTAGGTGCAGTATAGAGCAAGTATCGAGATTGTCAACCCGGGCCGGTCTATGAACCCCTACTTCAATCGCTTAAATTGTTATCTAGCAAAATAGTTTTGGCTTTTCAAACTAAGAAAACTACAAACTAAACAAGCAAAGAAAAGTAAATAAAGGAAAACTCTAACTAAGAGAGCTTCACCCAGGAGTTGCTTCCCCCTAACTAGCTACCATGACTCGTTGGATTGAATGGAGTAGTGTGACGTAGGTGGTTGTGGACCGGGGGGAGGGGGCAACTAGTGGTCGATTTGTTACGGAATCAATTCACTAGAGATCAATTTGTCACGGGATCGATTCACTCACCAAGTTTAGGGGGACCACTAGGAGGAGCAACTAGTGATCCATTTGTCACGGGATGGATTCACTAGAGATCGATTTGTCACAGGATCAATCCTCTCACCCAGTCTCTAGTGGTTGCCTAGGTCTCTCCCTCAAACCGGAATTTGAGCGGCTTAAACACAACCAACCTAGATGCAAACTTGAGTGAAGGAGGATGCTCATCTCTAACCTAGATAGTAGGCACAAAGTGTCCAGAAAAACCAAGCTTGTCAAGCCTAGCTAAAAAGGTGTGGTTTTCCTCTAATCTAGGTTAGGCAAGCACACAAGATTTGGAAAGCACAACTAAGCACAATAACCATGAAAACACCTCCAATATTCAAATTGATGCAACCCATACAAAATCATTTAATCTAAACAAGTAATTACAAAGTATTAGTATCGATGTACGACACCCAAGATAAAAGAGTGAGTTTCTAGAGAGAGGGATTACAAATTTGAGCTCAAGATCTTCTTCTTCTTCTAGGCTTGAATCCTTGTCTTCAAGATCCACCCAAGCCTCCAATGATGCTCTAAGATCACTCTAGCACTCTCTCTCTCTCACTAGAACTCTCCTTGGGTGTTTTTGGGCAAACCCTAGAGAGGAAATTGAATTTCTCTCCAAAAACCAGCTCTCCCTTCTCTCTTCCCGCTGTTGTCTTCATATTTGCCCGAAAGTGACCAGTTCACTGTCGTGAACACCTAAACGTGTCTGTGAACTTAAGGTTGTCCAAAACGCACCGCTTCACTCTCCTGGGTTCACGGTCAGTGGCCCCAGTTCACGGTCTTAGCACCCTGAACTCCCTTGGCGTCAGTAACCTCTGAACCTTGTTTGACTGCTCGATGTTCACGGTTTGTGGTCCATGTTCATGGTCTTAGGAGACCGTGAACTGCCTTGTCCGACCGTGAACTGCGGCTGTTTCCTGCACGCCTTCACTACTACGGGGCTTCGGACTTTTCTTTGGTTTTTGCGCTTTTTTACCTCCAATTATCCCAAAATTCGACCTCGACCCTTCCACACGTCCTAGGACCTGAAATGTATTAAAACAAGCACAAACTAGCGTGAAATATGTTGAGGAACGATGAAATACTAAGCTAAACGAATAAGAAATGAAGGGTAAAATGTGTACATTTGGGCCCGAATCATCGTCTCCTTAGATTGATTTATGGTGTTCATGCAAAAATATACCTTAGTTTTCCCGCATCCCATTTTTTTTATAATGGTGATTGGATTAAACGAAAGAAAAGTGTACATATGTTCAGAAGAACTGAACCGATAGGAACAACGAGGAAAATAATAGAAACAAAGAGAAATTGAAAGAAATTACAACAATCAATGAAAAGAAGAGCCAAAATAGCCCGACGAACAAGACCGTCCCCGCTGAAACTGAGCGAAAATAGAGCTACAATTACATTCGAGATAAACTATCATGGAGCAGAAATGCAGGATATGACCATCTTGGTAGCTTGACGAGCTATGATTTTAGCTGTTGCTTGAGTGTCTCCGAATATGCACTGATTTTGTTGTAACCAGATCAACCAAAGAGTAGCATGAAGGATGCATTAAACAAACCACATCTCATTTTTCTCACTGAATTTTGCTAAAGGACTTGATTATTCGATCAACCGTACTTTTTTACATGAAGGTGAATGTAAGAAACCTTCGATCCAAGAGTCTTCTGTTTTGAATTATGTGATCATGATCTATAGAGAATTGGGGATTATGGGTTGAGAATGAGGTATTTGGGAAGAGAGGGGTTGAAGAAGGAGGAAATCGGTCGGCCAAGGGGTGCGTGTTTACTTTCATTTTTGTTTCCTATTTTTGAGAAAACAGATGAAAACAACATTTTGTCGTTTCCGAAAACAACAGGAAGCTGTCACTTTCTGTTTTCAGAGCTGGAAACGAATAGAAAACAGAATGAAAAGTAAACATGTTTTCTCGTTTCGGTTGCGAAATTTATGACATGAAAACAGAATCAAGAAACGAAAATGGAAGTGAACAGTGCTACGCTTTGGAGAATTCTATTCAGTATTTGCTGAATGAGAAAATATCCACTAATTACACAATATATTACTCGAATAATTCCCACTAACTACACAAACTAATACCTCCTAGCTAAAATAACCAAATAAATCCAAATATGTCCAAAAGCCACCAAATAATATCCATTTTCACCCAAGCATAAATAAAATGAAAAACAAGTTCAAATACCAAAATCATCCAAAAAATTGGCTTTTAACAATCCATACATCTTGAAACCAACTTTGTCATCAAGGTTCGACCGGCGCTTCCTGGTTCTCCTTGCCTTCCTCTGTTGCATGCTCCTCTGCCACATCCTCCAAGTTGCCCACGAAGAGATGATTTGGATATAGAAGTGAATCATGACCGTTTGGGAATATTATGGGGTTTTAATCAGGTGAGTTTCATCATCAAAAACTTCGTTAAGGTCGAAAAAATAGGCGTGAGTTGTTATTGTTTGAGAGTGGGAGTTGAATTAGGGAAGATAATCTAACGAATGAATCTGGGATCTCTCCAAAGAGCGTGTGATGCTTGCTAGTGAGATTCAAAGCAATCTGTAATCAAACTTGCTGATTCACGGCCAATTGTACACATTTTACCCCTCATTTCTTGTTCATTTTGCTTAGTAGATCATCGTCCCTCGACCTATTTTACGCTAGGTTGTGCTTACTTTATCACATTTCAACTCCTAGCATAGTTGGGAAGGTCCGGGACGAGTTTCGGGTCATTCGGAGGTCAAAACGAGCCAAAAAGTGGAGGCTAAGCACTGTTCACCAGTTGGAGGCAAATGTCACGCCCTGAGACCGTGAAAATCACCCCCAGGGACTGAAGTGCATGATTTCATGGTCATGACTCATTTATCACAGTCCTAAGACCGTGATAATCACCCCCATACCGGGAAGTGGCCAAATTCCAGAGCAGTTTCGCGTCTCACTGGAGTCCAACCAGTTCACGGTCGCTAATACTGTGAACTCAAGCACCAGACCGTGAAGTCGGCACTATCGAGCAAATATAAAGACTGCAACGGGGAGAGAGAAAGGGGAGCTAGTTTTTGGAGAGGAATCAGTTTCTTTCTCTCAGGTTTTGACCCAAAACACCAAAAGGAGTTCTAGAGAGAGAGAGTTAACTGAAGGCATTGATCAAGCTTGAAAGAAAGGAATCAAGCTTACAAGAAGAAGATCTTGTGATTTGTTTGCAATCTCTCTCCTCTCTCGAGAAGCTCACCATGTGATCTATGGTTTAAGAACCCTAGTTCTAGGTCTTGGTTTTATGCTGATGTATGTGACAACTTCATAGTTTGATTGATGATTTTACTTAATTGATGGATGTTTTCATGAAAGGCATGAGTTTGGTTTCCATTTTCATGCATTGAGCTTTTGATCTATGCGAGAGAAAATCCCCTTATAGCCCATTGTTGGCGCCTTCGGGTCACTATCATATGTTGTCCGGGTAATCCCCGAGAGAGTTGATTCGGTCGGTCTCCTAGCAATATATAAAACCCTAGGTTGAATAGAGCACCTAACCTTCCATTGATTCATCATTCCAAGTCATTCCCGAGGGAGTCCATCTCCTAACGGTAGAGTATTTGAGTCGATCGAGCTTGGAGGATACACAATGTCGATCAAAGGTAGGAAATAGGGTGATTCAACCCAAGCGAGCTCCCAACCTTATAAATAGCTAGGTTTGTTAGGTTAGATTTTTCTTAATCACTACTATAGGTTGGCTAGATAACCAACCCCAATGGCTTCTACAACATGTGGGGGTATTCACAACCACCTGAATGGGGGTGCCCCGGAGCTACATGGAGTGACCAATAAGGTGGAAGCCAAGGAACCAGGTTCTATGATCAACCTCCCTTCCAAGAATAAGAACCATACCAATGGGGATATGAAGAGGCTTCCCCATATAAAGAAGATTTTGTTCCACAAGTCGAGGAGAAATCCAAGTTGGAGTTGTCAATGGAAATTTTCATGGGACGATCCTCAAGACCATTTGCCACTCCACAACCGGAGCCAAAAGCCAATTGGAGCCCATGGTGGAGCGATTTGCTTGAGGCACCAATGAAGGGTGCTCGAACTTGGATCTCCACCAAGCCGAAGTGAAGTCTAGGTTGGAGCTTGCCATGAGGAAATTTGAAAGAACAAGCTCCAACACGGATTTCCAACCCCTCCCTCCGTCTGGTTTGACACTTGAAGAAAAGGTGACACGAGCTTGTCCAAGCTATCGCCTCTCATCAATGGAAGAGAAAGAGGAGGTTGAAGGAGCGATCAATGAAAACCGTGTGGAGCAAGACGAACTCACCTCGGAGAGCTCCCGTGGTGAGGATGAACAAGAAGGTTGCATTGACGACTCTCATCACTTTCCTATTCCCGAGAGCAACTTTGAAGACCAAGTAACGAGTGTAGAGGAGCAAGAGAATCCTTTTTATGATCTTGCATGGCATCTTGCCCTCCAAACCATACTTGAAAACATGAATGGGAAGGAGGAAGAAGTGGTTGAAGAGGAAGAAGTGAGCATTGAAGAGAAGGAAGA